TGCCATTGTACTCCAGCCTGGGAGACAGAGTGAGACCCCAACTCAAAAAAGAAGTGTCTGATCTCCTCATCCACCAGTGAGAGTAAGAGTACCTACCTCACAGAAATACTGAGAGGCTAAGTGAGGTAGTTCATATATAAAGCAACCTTAGTACCTCAGCTGGGATATATAGTTGGTGGTCAATATTGTGAGCTGTTATTGGTATAGCGATTATTATTATTTTTGGAGTACTGGTATAGCTATTATTATTATTATATTTGCACACTCTGTTGCCCAGGTTGAAGTGCAGTGGCATGATCACAGCTCATCACAGCCTTAATCTCCTGAGCTCAAGGAATTCTTTCAGCTCAGCTTCCTGAATAGCTGGGAATACAGACACACGCCACCATGCCTGGCTAATTTTTTTATTTTTTGTAGAGATGAGGTCTTGCTATGTTGCCCAAGCTGGTCTTGAACTCCTGGGTTCAAGCAATCTTCCTGCCTTGGCCTCCCAAAGTACTGGGATTACTGGTGTGAGCCATCATGCTAGTCCTCCGTTATAGCTATTATTATTCCTGAGCTAGTTTCCTCATGGGCCTGAATTCGAGTCTCCTGTCCTCAACGGGCATCAAAAAGATTTCCTGTCTTAGTTTCATCTGCAGACAATAAACCAGAAAGCATGGGCAGGGACAGTCTAACTCTAATTTCTCTGCCATATCACTTACCCATGTAGAGAGCTTTGCTCAGCGTCCTATGCTGGGCTAGATCCCCAGATACACTGGTGGACCAAACAGACTTTCAGGTCAGTGTGGAGGCAGAAGCGAATGTCACATGACTGGTAATGCAAAAGTGTCACAAAAGCCATGAAGGAATAGGACTTGGTCAGGGCATCTAGAAGTGACTTTCAAGCCGGGCTCGGTGGCTCAGCCTGTAATCCTGCACTTTGGGAGGTTGAGGTGAGTGGATTGCTTGAGCCCACGGGTTCAAGACCCGCCTGGGCAACTTGGCGAGACCTCATCTCTACAATAAATCAAAAAATTAGCCGGGCGTGGTAGTGCACGCCTATAGTTCCAGCTACTCGGAAGGCTGAGGCGGAAGGATCGCCGGAGCCCAGCAGGTCGAGGCTGCAGTGGCCGGGAGCGGCCACTGCACTCCAGTCTGGGTGACAGAGTGAGACTCCAACTCAAAAAAAAGAAGTGACTTTCGAGCCAAAGCCTCACGGATTACACTGGGGAGGGAGACATCTCAGCAGATCTGAAGGGCAGGAGTAAGGGACCGATTCTGGAGGGAAAATGGTACCTGGAAGCACAGAGTGGGAGAAGGAAATGGCAGGGGACAATGCTGGCGCGGGCAGGATGGACCTGGCAAGCCCTGTAGCCAGGGGCTGCCGGGTTTGGTCTTTGTCCTGAGCATGATAGGCAGTGCCGGGAGGGTGGAGGCAAGGGGAAATGGCAGGAGAGGACAAGCAGATTCATTTTCTTTTAGAATTCTACTCCACTTGCAGGGAAGAGAATGAAATAGAGGGGCTGAAGTGGGCAGACACAGGAAGCCCACAGTGGTCTCACGGTGGCGAGCACTGGGTTGGTGGCCGTGGTGATATGGATGGAGCATGGATTCCAGAGTCACTTAGGAGGCAAAGTGAACAGAATCTGGTCACTGACTGGAGGAAGCAAAGAAGAGGAAAAGCCAGCCAGGCTTGGTGGCTTAGCCTGTAATCCCACGCCTTTGGGAGGCTGAGGTGAGTGGATTGCCTGAGCCCGTGGGTTCGAGACCCGCCTGGGCAGCGAGACCTCATATCTACAATAAATCAAAAAATCAGCTGGGCGTGGTAGCACATGCCTGTAATTCCGGCTACTTGGAAGGCTGAGGCGGAAGGATCGCCGGAGCCCAGCAGGTCGAGGCTGCAGTGGCTGGGAGTGGCCACTGAACTCCAGTCTGGGCGACAGAATGAGACTCCAACTCAAAAAAAAAAAGAGGAAAAGCCAAAGGTCACTCCCAGGTTGTTGCCATGCACATACTGGGTGGCAGGAAGATGCTGTGCTCTGAGATCCAGAACAGTAGGAAGATGCCTGGCTTTGGAGAGATCCCAAGCTCATTCCTGGAAATCAGCCTCCTGTGCTTCATTGCCTTGCCTGCCTCAGCCCGGCTCTGAGCTCTAAGGGCCTTCCTGGGGCGGCCACGTTTTTTTCATACCTGCGGACACTGCCTCCCCTTGACGATAGCTAATTGGGTAAGGGGTGGGTACATGACTATGTGCTGCCCATTCATTGGCCAGTGGCTGACCTATGAAAAGGCGGAAGGATCACTGAAGCCCAGCAGGTCGAGGCTGCGGTGCCTGGGAGTGGCCACTGCACTCCAGTCTGGGCGACAGAGTGAGACCTTCTCCTAGGAACTCAACAATTCTAAGAGGACCCAAGGCAGTAGAGGCTGGATGCTGCTGATGACAGACCGTGAGCTGTGGCTGTGGCCAGGGAGGTCCCTAGGGCACCTTGGCTCCTCTAGCTTTGCCTTCTCAGCCCCAGTCTACCTACAGAAGTGAAGCTGCACAATGCCTCTCTCCTTACGGTAACTGGACAGTGCCTCTGTTCTGACCACAGCAAGGAGACTAAAAGCTCAGACTTGGGGGCACTGACTTGGTTCTTCAACTTCTAGCTGTGTGGCTGTTGGCAAGTCACTGAACCTCTCTGTGCTTTAGTTTCTACATCTGTGAAAAGGGGACAGCAGTAACAATAGGACCCAGTTTACAGGTTTGTGGTGATGACTTAATGAGTTAATATGTGTAAAGTACTTAGGACAGTGGCCACTACGTGGTTAAGTGCCCCGCAAGGCACCTGCTGTTACAGTTGTTATTCCTGGTCCTAACTAGAATAGGCAGAAACATGATTCATTGTTGACAGTCTGTTCTCAAGTGTCACTTAGCACCAAACACCCAGTGGGCTCTGCTGGTCCTGCCCCTCCATCTGACCCGGTTGGCTGTGGAAAGCCAACAAGATCCAGCAGCTGGCAGGTGCTAAGGTGGGGGGGGACACTGTCACATCTCAGTGCTGGCTTCAGCCCAAGCTCCTCCCCAGCCTGGGCTGCTGTGGTCAGGACTTGCCTCTAGCTGGGAGCAGGGAGAAGTATTATTGCTCAAGAGAGTGACGTGTCTTGTGCCCGCAGGTGGGTGGCACCTGTGTCCCCTGGTAGGAGCTGACCCACCTTGACTAGGCAGCTGATGGCTGCAACCTATTGCTGGTCAGGGTATGTGGCCCCCAGGAAGCTGACAGCATAGCTCACTGGCCAGACCTGTCACTATCTAACAACAGAGTGAGGCTTGGGCAGATGTCTGGAGAAGAACACCAACTGGAAGCTTTTCCCCAGGGATCCCAGCATTAGAACATGAAGTCAGTGTAGGAGAACATAAAGCCTATGAAAACAATCACCTGGCCAGGATTCTCAGAGGTTAGAAAGCTGGGAGAAACCCCTGGGTTTGGCATTAGGCAGACCTGAGTTCGAATCCTGTCTCTGACAAGTGCTCACAGGGGACTGCATGCAGAGCCATCAGACACACTGCTCCCAGTGACAAGTGTGTGCATGGTACGACCTCCGTGGGTAAACATCGTGGTTATCATGGTCTTGGGAAGGGGGAAGGGGAGGCATCTTGGGACTTTTGTGGCCTGTTGTTTCCCCTCTGGCTTTTCTTCTTCCATGCCTTCTTCTTCTTCCACATCTTTTTTTTTTTTTTTTTTTGAGTCAGGGTCTCACTCTGTTGGCCAGACTGGAGTACAGTGGCACAATCACAGCTACTGCAGCCTCAACTTGATGGGCTCAGGCAAACCTTCCACCTCAACCTTTCAAGTAACTGGGACTACAGGCATGTGCCATCATGCCTGGCTAATTTTTTTTTTTTTTTGATTTATTGTAAAGATGAGGTCTTTCCAATGTTGCTCAGACTGGTCTCAAACCTCTGGGCTCAGGCAATCCTCTCACCTCGGCCCCTGTGAGTGCTGGGATTACAGGCATGAGCCACTTCACACAGTCTCGTGTTTCTCTCTCTTTCTTTCTTTTTTTTTTCTTTATGCCATTTTGGACTCCCTGGCACTGCTTTCTTTTCTGGGTACCAGACCTGTGATTTTATCAACAACTTCAGATTTTGGCTCAACCAGATAAATCACACAGTGGGGGATGGGAGTGAGTGAAGGTGAGAGGTTGAGTAACAAAAATGGGCTCAAAGATTACGCTGCCTAATGGTTGCCACTCAAGACAGATGGTCAAGTGCAACCTGCTCTTCTGCCAAGCAATGCCTGGGACAAATCCAGAGCTTTCTAAACGTGAAAGATGACTGTTTTTACAGGATGAAAAGCAGGAGATTTCGGAGATCCTTCAGTCATCTGCTTTGGTCCAGGTTCCCTTTGGGTCATCTTGTAGAACCACTGGCAATCATTATATGCTACATGTGATGTCTTGTCCTAGCCCTGCTCATGCCTCTGAATTCTAGTGGCTATTCCCCAAGACTACTTCATTCCAACACCTGCCTGTAGGCCTCTCCCCGTGGTGCATTGCATAGCATCACGGCTACCACGTCCCCCTCCTGTGTCTGTGACAGACATCACTAATTGACCATGCAGCTCTTGCCTTCTGAGCCTCAGTTCCATTTACAAACTGAGTTCCTGGAAGTCACAAGGAGTCAAAACCTATTAGGGCTATCCTTCCCTGGAAGAAGCAAGACCCAGGGTATGCTAACATGCTTTACTCTCTTGAGTAAAATGTAGACGAAACTTGCATCAAGGGCAGTTTTGAACAATGTAACTTAGGAAATGTACTTGGAGGGTAGAGTTGTGACAAGAAGGTGAAGACAACAAAGAGCCATGCTCAGCTTCAAGGAATTATAAGAGGTGGGAGACAGGAACCACTTGCTCAGGCTCTATTTTATATGCTGGCATCAGCACTGTCCTTACCCACTCATTCCTCCTCCAGAAGGCTCCCGGAATCCTTTGCGTGATCCTGACTGGGGCTACCAGGTATCCATCACCAGTGCCTACCTTGGACTTGACGGCCAGGATGATCTTGGGCAGGGCCACGATGAGGCACTTAAGGGCAATGGTGATGTACTTCAGCACAAAGTCTGCGATCCCCACGATCCACAGCAGGTCGAAGAAGTCCAGTGTCTCCAGGTTGGGCTTTAGGAAGATGAGGCTGTGGGGAGGATTCAGAGAGTCAGGATGTTCACTCAGGACCAGGCCCTCAGTAGTTCCTTCTCACTCGAGATCCTTGCAAATATCACCCAAAGAAAGAGCACTGAACTGGGAGTTAGACATCTGTGTCCTTTTCCTGAATATGCTACTAACCTGCTGTGTGACCTCTGGTGGCTCTCTTAACCTTCCTCAACCATTCCCTTTAGGGTTGAATGATAAGATTGGCCTGGAGCTACATTAAGGTCCTTGTTTTAGTCAGTTTTGTGATACTATAATAATACCTGTGGCTGGGTAATTTATAAAGAAAAGAGGTTTATTTGGTTCACAGTTCTGCAGGCTAGGAAGTTCGAGGTCATGGCCCTGCCTTCTGGTGAGGGCTTTTATGCTGTATCATAACAAAACCCCAGGGACATCCTGGCTTTGTAACAACCCACTCTCGTGGAAACTAATCCACTCCCGTGGAAACTAATCCACTCCCTGAGCAATGATCCAGTCTTGCCAGAGTGGCAACTCACTACTGTGAGAAACAGAGCCAAGCTGTCTATGAAGGACCTCCCCACACGATCCAAACACCTCCCACTAGGACCTCCCTCCCCAGCCCTGTCACATTGGGGATCACATTTCAACATGAATTTGGGTGGGTACGAACCAAACCCTAGCAGTCTCCTCTGGTTTTATGGGTCTAAGTAGGCTTTAAGAGAGGAAGCCAGCTGGGCTCAGTGGCTCAGCCTGTAATCCCGCGCTTTGGGAGGCTGAGGTGAGTGGATTGCCTGAGCCCGCGGGTTCGAGACCCACCTGGGCAACTTGGCGAGACCTCATCTCTACAATAAATCAAAAAATTAGCCAGGCGTGGTAGTGTGCGCCTGTATTTCCAGCTACTTGGAAGGCTGAGGCGGAAGGATCGCTGGAGCCCCGCAGGTCGAGGCTGCGGAAGAAAGGAGGGAGGGAGGAAGAGGGAGGGAGGGAGAGGCAGGCAGGCCACCACTCTGGAGGAGGGAGGGAGACTGATGGACCAGGCACGGTACCAAGCTCTTTGCTCACTGTATCTCACCAAATCCTCACAACAGTCCGTGGCAGTGAGTGTTGCTTCTCTCCGGGTTACAAATGAGGCACTGAAGCTTGACAAGCTGAAATAAGCGGCCCAAGGTCACACTAAGGGCATTAGTGTAAGGGCATTAGTATTAGACAGCCTTGAACTTGGATCTGGCTTCTCCATTTATTGAACCCTGGGCAAATACAGTTATCTCTTCAAGCCTCAGTGTTCTCATCAATAAAATGGGAGTCGCCCCCTCCCTCACAGTGTTATTGGCAGGATTTGATGAGATACTGGACTATGTGGCAGAAAGGATAACAGCAACTCTACGAGGCGGTCACTTTTATCTGCCCCATTCTGCAGCCAAGAAAACTGAGGCACAGAAAGGTAAAGTTGCATGCACAAGTTCTTACAGATATCAATGGACAGAAGTGGACTGGAACCCAGGCGTCCTGGCTACTGCTGGTGTTCTCCAACCTCACTCCATAGCAGTGCTACTCAGAGTGTGTAAACCCATTTAATAACTGTCTGTGACCAGGTAAGTTAAGTCTCATGCTCTGTTTCTGTACTTAACTCATTGAAGACAGACAACAAGAAGTTCTCCAACTGGCACCGGTCCACGGACTGCACTTTGAGTAGCACCGCTCTCCAACACCCCTAGGAAGATGTTTCTTCATGATCATAATAGAAGCTACAGTACCCTGGCTTTTACATCACACACACCCTGCTCCATGAATTTTACATGTCTTAACACGTTTTGTCTTCCCATAACTCTATGAAATAGGTGATAGGAATACCCCATGTAGAGCTGAGGACACTGGGGTGCTGAGAGGTGCAGTCATCTGCCTGTAGCATCTCAGCTCTAATGTGGAACTAGTATTGGAAGAAGCATCCCTTTATCTGCTCTGGTCCTTCCTTTCTTCCCACTGGATTAGAGGCTCTGAGCAAGGACCAGATTGATTCCTGTCTGTCTCTTCAAAACAGGGAACAGAGCACTCAACACAGAACAGATACTTTCTTTTTTTTCTTTGAGTTGAAGTCTCACCCTGTCGCCCAGGCTGGAGTGCAGCGGCACACTCACGGCCACTGCAGCCTCAACCTACTGGGTTCAGGCAATCCTTTTGTCTCAGCCTTCCATGTAGCTGGAACTACAGGCGCACGCTACGGTGCCCAGTCAATCTGTTTGATTTATTGTAGAGATGGGGTCTTGCCAAGTTGCCCAGGCTGGTCTCGAACCTCTAGGCTCAGGCAATTCTCTCACCTTGGCCTCTCAAAGTGCTGGGACTATAGGCATGAGACATCATGCCCAGCCTTTTCTTTTTTTTTTTTTTTAAGAAAGAAAGTATCACTGGCTGGGCACAGTGGTTCAAGTCTGTAATCCCTGAGCTCACAGGTTTGAGACCAGCTTGGGCAACTTGGTGAGACCTCATCTCTGGTGAGACCTCATCTCTACAATAAATCGAAAAAATAGCCAGGCGTTGTGGTGCATGCTTATAGTTCCAGTTACTTGGAAGGCTGAGGTGGAAGGATCACCTGAACCCAGCAGGTCAAGGCAGCTGTGGTCATAGCGTGCGACTGCACTCCAACCTGGGTGACAGAGTGAAACTCCAACTCAAAAAAAAAAAAAGAATACACACACACACACACACACACACACACACACACACCCTGGGATTGTCAAAAAATATATACATATTTTAAGAGATGTTACATATGTATTACTTTTCAAAGTTGAATTGAATTACGGCAGCAACGTGTAGTATGACGATCGCGCAAAAGAGGGTGTTAATCAAATGAATGCTAGTGTCACCTTGCGACAGACAGGGCAGTTAAAGAAAGTGGTGGAAGCATGGTTGTCGTTCAAGGCGTGCAAAACCATTCTGAAGTGATATTGACTTAACACTCTTTGACTTCTACCTCTGGGGGACCTTAGAGGATGTGTGTACCATGGAAAACCAGCTACACTAGTGGTACTTTGGAAAGAAGATGAAATGGTATACGCACAGTTGCAAGTGGACATTTTGGTTAACATTGCTCAAGCAGTAGTTCGCCGTAATCAGAAGCATCTGGACACTGATGGTAACCACTTGAGCACCTCTTGTAATTGCAGAAGCCTAAAGTAACTTGTGTACTTGCATTCATCTTTTGCTCTTGGTAATATATTGAGTATTACAATTTTAATAGAGTTTTTTCTTTCTTAAAATGTATATACATTTTCTGACACCGTGTGTGTGTGTGTGTGTGTGTGTGTGTGTGTAAGACGGGCTTTTGCTATGATGCTATCTCAAATTCCTGGCCTCAAATGATCCACCCGCCCTAGCCTCCCAAAATGCTGGGATTACAGGCCTGAGGCATCACACCCTTCCAGATGCATTCTGTATGCTTTGGAAATACTCTGCCAGGTTGGCAGAAAAGGGTGCAAAAAGTGGTCTCTTTATTCTAGCATCCTAACAATTGGATTGGTCTGTGTTTCTGCATGTTTTTAGAGCAGGGCAGCATCAATACCAACAAGCTATCTGGCAGTTGCTCACCACACCTTCAGTGACCTTCCCACATCCCAGCCCTGGCTCCCCAGGACTCCTTGCCTCCAAGCTTGAGCGGCCATCCCTGCTATGACACGGGGAGAGGTTTGCAGCCCCGAGCTCCATCTTCGCTTCTGTTCGTGCCTCTCCCTAGGGCTAGGCCAGGCCGGCTAGTTGGCCTCCACACTCAGCCAAATCTATGCTCCTGTGATCACAACAAAACAAAGCTCTGCCATACGCTTTCCATTTTCTCTCAAAGACACCAGGTGATGGTTAGTTCACCTGCCTGAATTTTATCCCGCATCTTAATGTTTTGTTTTTGCTTTTGTGCAAAGAGGTACAAAAGTGTTTTTCCATAGATTAATCATTAAGTCCAAGTATTTCTAAAGCTGTCTCTCTCTCTCTCTCTCTCTTTTTTGTTGGAGTCTCCCTCTGATGCCCAGGTTGGAGTGCAGTGGCACACTCGTGGCTCACCGCAGCCTCAACCTCCAGGGTTCAGGCGATCCTTCCACCTCAGCCACTTGAGTAGCCTGGGCTGCATGCAGGTGTACAAACCATGCCTGGCTAATTTTTTTTTTTTTTT